CTTAACATAACCAAAACTGGAATTTAAAAAAAATTTTTTTTGTAATGTTTATTTCTGAGACAGAGAGAGACAGAGCATGAGCGGGGGAGGGACAGAGAGAGAGGGAGACACAGAATCAGAAGCAGGCTCCAGGCTCTGAGCTGTTAGCACAGAGCCCAATGCGGGGCTTGAACTCACAAACCGTGAGATCATGACCTGAGCCGAAGTCGGAGCTCAACTGACTGAGCCACCCAGGCGCCCCAAAAACTGGAATTTTTTTAACAGTAAAATTCCTTTTTAAATCCACAGTTGCAAATCTTGTTACCATTTTCTTCCAAAAAGCCTCATATGTTCATCTTTTCCCTGTTTTCATTGCGACAACCCAGTCAAGGGCCATAGTACTTCATGACTAGGTCCTGACTCATCTCTAAGGCTCTAGGTGGTCTCTGGTCCATTTCATCCTGCATGTTGTGCTAGACTTGTAAAGTCCTTTAGTGCCACTCTGAAGGCATCCCTCCCCTGCTTAAAAACATTATTTTTGTTTTCCTTTATTTTCCTTTATTTTACTTTTTGTTTTTCTTTTCACACCTTTAAATTCCTCATCTCTTAGCACTGGGTGTTGTATGGAAACCAATTTGACAATACATTTCATAAAAAAAATAATTAAAGATAAATTCCTCATCTCTTACTGTTTCTCAAACTTCCTCCACTTAAGTGTAGTTAGCTTTCTTGCAGACGTATACAATATGCTCACTCACTTTCTGTGCCTCACTCATTCTCCCTTCTGAGTCTGAGCTCCCGTTTGTTTCGTCAGGAATTCCCTACCCTCCACCCTCTATGCTTATCCAGAATTCATCTCTTGACATTCTTCCATTTATACCTTGTACTCAGGCCATGATTAGCTGTTTTTAGGTCCCTGGACAATGCTTCACTTACCATCCTCACCTCAGTCTGTTTGCCAATATGACCCTACAACTCCTGACTTACCCCATTCTTTAAAAACCCATCACAAGTGTTAACTTCGGTGGGACAAGCCTCCACTTATCTTATCACCTGAGAAGAGTTAAGCATCCAATGTGTCTCACGGCAGCCTGCACTTACCTCAGTTATATGTTATGTTTTCTTATTTACTTATATGTCTGTCTCCCATATTAGTCTCTACATTGTTTTGAGGTTATGAAGACATTAGGTCTTACTCATCTTTTAGTATTTCTCAATAAACACTTGAGTACTGAGTGAATGAATCAATGAACTTGGGCTGATTGGAAAGCTTTTCCTTAGCTGCTTAGAATCACTAAAAATTGACAAAAGCATATTACATTTAGGACAGTGTTTTCAAACTTTTAGCAGTGAGGTCCTGTTTCCAATAAATCTTATGCAGAAGTTGAATAAATAAAACAGATAATACAAAGTGGAAAGTATAAGCTAGAAGTGGTATGTGATTGTGTTTCTGTGTAGTGAGGAAACTGACAAGGTCAAGCAGATAGAGCTCAATTTAAAAAATTTCATATTTTATAATGATAAAATCTTACTTGTGTGCCTGTTTTGATTTTTATAAGAGGCCAGCATTATCAGTCTTGCCCATACTAGAATTGATAATTTCTTTCTCTTTTAAAGTTTATTTATTTATTTTGAGAGAGAGAGTGAGTGAGCAGGGGCGGGGCAGAGAGAGAGAGAGAGAGAGAGAGGGAGAGCGAGAATCCCAAGCAGGCTCTGCACTGTCAGCATAGAGCCCAACGTGGGGTTTGAACTCACAAACCATGAGATCATGACCCGGGGCCGAAATCAAGAGTCAGACACTTAACTGACTGAGCCACCTAGGAGTCCCAGAATTGATCATTTCTAAGTCTGAAAAATTAGGTTCTCCTGATGGAGGAGGCTTCTCTGACCAATAGTCTTTAGACTGGACCTATTTATAGGGCCTCTCTGTGATTACAGTTACCTGTCAAACAAGAAGACTATTTTTGTTATGCAAGCCCTCACACAGTCTTTAGATGGTAATTTAAAAAACATGGCCCCACATGGGGCTCCTCTATGGCTCAGTCGGTTGAGCGTCTGACTTCAGCTCAAGTCATGATCTCACAGTTCATGAGTTCGAACCCCATGTAGGGCTCCCTGTGTGTAGGGCTCTCTGTTGTCAGTGTAGCCCGCTTCGGATCCTCTGTTCCCCTGCCCCCACCCCTTCCCTGCTCGTGCGTTCATGCTCTCGCTCTCTCTCTCTCTCTCTCTCTCTCTCTCAAATAAACATTTAAAAAAAAGAAAACATGTCCCCACAAAAATTTGTACATTAACCTTCATGAAATAACTTCATAATAGCTAATGGGTAGAAACAACCCGGATATCCATCAACTAATGAATGGATAAATACAATGTGGTATATTTCCATATAGTGCAGGATATTAATTGGCAAGAAACGGGAAAGAATACTACATTCATTAATACAGTACTGATGAATCTTGAAAGCATTGTGCTAAATGAAAGAAACCAGTCACAAAAGATTATGTACTGGATTAGTCCATTCATATGAAATATCTAGAATAGGCACACATATAAAGATAGAAAATAGATAAATGGTTGCATAGGGCTGGAAGGCAATGAAGAATGATTGTTAACAGGTATGAATTTTATTTTGGGTATGATGAAAATGTTCTAAAATTGTGATGGTTGTACAACTCTAACAAAATAAAAATAATTTTAATTGTACACTTTATTTCTTTTTAATTGTACACTTCAGATGGGTCTTTTGTATGTGAGTTATATCTCAGAGTTGTTAAAGATGTATTGAGCAGTCTTTTAATGTGGCTTGTAAAGTAGTCTGATGTCACAGGGTTATAGCTTTAGGCAGCTCCTGGTAAGTAAAATATTCGTGAATATTGTACCAATTTCTTTCCCTTTTTTGCCCCCTCCTACTTGGGCATTTTTACTGGAAGGGAGGTCAAAGAAAGAATGAAAATAATCCAGTTAGCAATACTTAGCCAATTATCAGTAGCTGCCCCCAAAGTTTTTAAGTTGAGAAGAAGAGTTTTTCCCTGAAAGGACATTTGTGAGTTTTGATATTTGTTAATTAGGTTAGTTTATATTTGTTGATAGTTTTCTCATTTCACCAGACTACTGTGTTGGCCTTCTGTGTAATGTTCTCCTAGACGTATCAGATATGTGTAAAGGATAGGTAATTTTGTTGATCTCAGTAGACTTTGTGTGTCCATAGCTGACACACAATGATCCGTTAGTTTCAGGTTTACAGTGTAGCATAAGCAGTATAGTCAATGGTATTGTAATAGTGTTACATGGAGACTGTCCTAGAGAATACAGTGCTAATGTTAAATTAATCAAGTTTAAAGTTGGGAGGTTTGGACATTTTTTTTAGTTTACTGAATACCAGCAATACTAAATTTTGTGAAACTTAAAATTGAAACAGCTTGCTGTTGCCCTTTGGTTTACAGAGTATTTGGGGTTGATGTCATTAATGATTTTTAATTTCTCTTTTTCTAATAGGTCACTACTGTTTTTAATGAAGTCACATCATCTTTCGATTTAAATCCTCAAGTGTTACAGCAGTTAGATAGTAAACGACAGCAGGTCCAAATGACAGTTACAGAGACCAACCAGGAGTGGCAAGTGTTGCAATTGAGAGTGCATACTTTTGCTGCGTGTGCAGTTGTGAGTTTGCAGCAGCTTCCGGAGAAGTTAAATCCTATCATAAAACCATTAATGGAAACAATTAAAAAAGAAGAGAATACACTGGTGCAAAACTATGCAGCTCAGTGCATAGCAAAACTCCTTCAGCAGTGCACAACAAGGACACCCTGCCCCAATTCAAAAATTATTAAAAACCTCTGTAGCTCACTTTGTGTGGACCCATATCTAACTCCTTGTGTCACATGTCCAGTACCAACACAGAGTGGCCAAGACAATTCTAAAGGTATATGTCTGAACCTTCATTTGGGATAGAGAATTAACCATTTACATCTGTTTTCATTGACTTGTAGGTATCATTTAAGCACAAATCCATTTTATGTGAGAGCTTTTTCCCATTTTGTATATATTGGTAATAAATATAAATATATAATATATATAAAAATATATATATATATTCCTCTAAACTCAAACAAGGTATTCATAAAAGACCTAAAAAAACCCCTGATATTTCATATAAGATGACTGAAATCTGTGAGACAGGTGTTAACGCTTAATCTCTCTTTCAAGAACATCATTATAGGATTTTACTATTAATGAGGCTAGAAACGTAATTGTATCAAATGTTGAATACAAATTCTTCTATAAAACTCTTGTTTCTCTATTTTAGTGCATGCTTTGTAAGATAAGTGAACTCTGTTACCTTTAGTAAATAATGTGTAGCCATTCTGATTTCATCCGGAAAATAAGAATTGCTTTCTATAGGCTAGTATCAAGGACCAATGTTTCTTTCCATGCCTTAGTCCAATATGATTTACTTATTTTTGTTAGTAGGATTTTGGAAAAGCAAGTTATTCAAAATGTAATAAATTTACAACTTTAGTATGGTATATGTATTGAAAAATATGTGAACAAACTGGAAGAGGAAAGTTGCATTTTGAATATTAACATCTTAAAACTATAATAGGGTGACAGTCTTTCCCCATCCCCACTCCTGTCACCCCCTTATGCTATTTGAGCCAGTAATATTTTGCAGTGGTCGATGTCTCTGAATTTATGGTGACTATGGACATTTCTTTTAGAGAGAACAGACATTTCTTGCAATGTTTTTAATTTTCTTTTTATGCCTAGAAGCAGTCGTTGATTTTTTAAAAATTAATATACTTTAACTGAAGGCCCCAAATCATTCTTGTGTGTTCTATTTCTTGTTAACATGATTCTACAACTTTGTATTAAGTATAGTCTTATGCAAATATCAAAACAATTAATGTTACAAATTATTGACTGTTCTACCATTTCATTGTCTAAAGAAAATGTCATTGGCTTTTAGAAATTGAGGCTTAAAAGACATAGTTTTAAAAATATGTTGTATCTCTTTTGGAGCAGGAAGCATTTGGTCACCTATATTATCCTTAAAAAGTTATTTAACTTTTTTCCTTTTAGGATCCAACTCTGAAAAAGATGGGATGCACCATACGGTCACCAAGCACCGAGGTATAATTACACTCTACAGGCATCAGAAAGCTGCTTTCGCTATCACAAGTAGGCGAGGTCCTACCCCCAAAGCAGTAAAAGCTCAAATAGCTGATCTTCCTGCAGGAAGTAGTGGAAACATCCTTGTTGAACTTGATGAGGTAAATAGGTGTTTTGTTTTTGACTACTCTGATTATTAAACAGATATCTTACAGATTGAGAGCTAAATTGTCATATGAGCCTCCAGTATTGTATTTTTATATTTTTCAAAGTGGAAGAACTGGAATTAATAATCTTTCATAGTAGTTTCACAACATGATCCAGAAAAACTGCAAGCTTCTTTACAGATTTCTGTTGATACTTAATTTATAAGTGTCAAATAATTATTGCCTGCTTGACTTTTAGTCAGCGTGGAATTTACAGTGTGTGATGTGAGGTAGGGATCTAAATTTATTTTTCAACATGAACAGCCAGTTATCACATTACTGAATCCTTCTCTCCCTGATTTATAATGGCACCTTTGTTGTAGCTCATGCTTCATGTATGTGAATATCTATTTGGCTTTCTTTTCTGTTTGGTCTACTTGTTCTACAGTATTATCTTCTTTAAAGATAACTTAAAAAGTGTTTGGTTTTTGAAATTTTTGCAGTTCCATTATTAACAGTGAAATGAATGTTCTAGGTAGCTCTTTAGGTTGCATGACCTAGAAACTTACCTGAGTTCAGCAATAAATTATCAAAGCTAAAAGACATGTGTTTAATATATTTCTGTAACATACAGACCTATTTTAAGTTTCCTTTTTAAATTAAAATCTTATTACCTGTATTTGTTTTAAAATCTTCTATCAGTGATTTTTCAACTATTCTATTCATTACATAATTTTAATAAAAAATTTACTGTGACTTTGATATTTATATCTCTATGGCTTGCATAGTTCTTCCTTTAGTTAAAAATAATTGTAAAAATATATGCCTCTTTTGGGGAGGCAGGGTTGTTTTTTTTTTTTGTATTATATTGAAATTATTGCTGAGTAAGAGGCAACTAATCTTGTGATTAGATAAAACAGATGCTCTTATAGGATCCCTTAAGTGAATATAAATATAAGGACAGATCATCTTCTCTCCTTATCTTCTAACTGCTAAGTTTCTTTGGGAAGGGAGAAGAACTAAAGAACATGTCACTTAGGACTATCTCTAGAAACAGCACATATTCTTTATTTCCAGCTCCAAAGAATTATTTTACTTTGGATATAAAACTCTAGTTTGGGGTTTTATGTTCATGTAAATTTAATTGTTGAAAGGTGTTTATAGTGATAAATATGTTTATAATGATAAATATGTTTAGTTGCTTACTTGGTTAAATTCTCTTAATAGAATTTCAAATGCATTATAGTTTTTTCCAAAATTCTCTTTTCAACTAACATTTCATTTAGGCCCAGAAGCCTTACCTGGTTCAGCGGAGAGGAGCTGAATTTGCCTTGACAACTATAGTGAAGCATTTTGGTGGTGAAATGGCAGTGAAGTTGCCACATCTCTGGGATGCTATGGTTGGACCATTGAGGAATACAATCAACATAAATAATTTTGGTGTGTACGTTTTTCTGAGTTGGACTTTGTAAAATTATTTGCAAGGTGATACACACTTAAATCAATATATTTTAATAGATGGAAAGTCCCTCTTGGAAAAGGGAGATGGTCCTGCCCAAGAATTGGTGAATTCTCTGCAAGTTTTTGAAACCGCAGCAGCATCAATGGATTCTGAGCTTCATCCCTTGGTAACTAACTACTGCAAGTGTAGTTTTTTTCTAATAAAACAAATGGTTTTATTAAAAAGTCTTAAGGCTTAAAAAATGTAACTTTGATGTCATCCCTAGTAATTGCATTTTCTTTTTTGTGTTATAACTAGATTCCTTCTTTATTGACAGCACATTTCTTTTTTTTTTTTTTATATATGAAATCTATTGTCAAATTAGTTTCCATACAACACCCAGTGCTCATCCCAAAAGATTCCCTCTTCAATGCCCATCACCCACACACCCCTCCCTCCCACCCCCCATCAACCCTCAGTTTGTTCTCAGTTTTTAAGAGTCTCTTATGCTTTGGCTCTCTCTCCCACTCTAACCTCTTTTTTTTTCTTTTTTTTCCTTCTCCTCCCCCATGGGTTTCTGTTAAGTTTCTCAGGATCCACATAAGAGGACAGCACATTTCTTAAGGGCTTCGAGTCAGAGCTGGGTGCACAGACGTTAAAGAAAACCCACTTTGGGAGCTTTGAATACAGAGCAGTGGGAATAGGGCTCTGATGACACAGAAGCCAGGTGTAAACAGAAAGGAAGTTATGGCCCTATTAATTTATGCCATGTTAATAATATAACTCTAATTAACAGGTGATAAAAATTCTTTCTAAGTATAAAGGTAGAAGGAAGTTACCTGCCTGAGATAAAGCTAGTCAGTGGCAAAGAAAGAACACTGGTTTGTAGACTATTGTATATTAAAATGAATATTTCTTACAAAAAAAAATTGTGGCAGGAGAAAAATAGAATAGAGAATTAAATATCTGTTTTTTCCATAGAAGAAAACCGTATTCTTTCCATGTAACTGCAGTGGAAAGCTCTGCAGTATATAGCATTGTTAAGTGCGCTAGCTCCTGTTCTTTATTCATGTTAACAGAAAAGGGAGAATCTAGGAGAGAGAGAAGAACGAATCTTTTCTATTTGTATAGTAATGAACTTCTGTCTTTTTCATGTTAAATTTTGTTGATTTATCATTAGTAGAGAAGGGCAGAATCTGTATGCTCTCACCCTTCTATGATCAGCTTAACAGTCATCAGAGCTGTAAGGCTAGTCTGTTGAGCCTGTACCTGGCTCTTAATCAACATAAATCCTGGTGTTCCATGCAGTAGGCTTTCATTAATGAGATATATCATGCTACTGTGATCATAATGCCTGTGGTAAGCCAGGAAGTTAAAGTGGAAAGTACTTACCAAAGGATGGTGCCTAGAACGAGTTCAGGATCACTCAACTCAGTGAATAGGAAGTACGTATTTAGGGGTGCCAGGCTAGCTCAGTTGGTAGAGCATGTGACTCTTGATCTCAGGGTCATGAGTTCAAGCCCCATATTGGGCATGAAGCTTACTTAAAACAAACAAACAAAAAAGTAAGTACTTAAACCTAAGCCAGAGCTACCAAATTGGGAGGGGACTGGTGATGTGTGGTATCATTTCCCCTCCCAAGGGGAGAATCTTAGTGCCTTTTGATGTGAACCCTGCTGCCTTAAGGGAAGAAAATGAAGAGTGAAGTTCTGCACCTTTTCTTTTTTTAGAGAGAGGGAGAGCAAGTGCGAGCGGGGGAGAGAGGCAGAGGGAGAGAGAAAGAGAATCTTTTTTTTTTTTAATGTTTATTTTTGAGAAAGAGAGAGAGTGTGAGTGGGAGAGGGACAGAGAGAGAGAGGGAGATAGGATCTGAAGCAGGCTCCATGCTGACAGCAGAGAGCCCCATGTGGGGTTCGAACTCATGAACTGTGAGATCATGACCTGAGGTGGAGTCAGACGCTCAACTGACTGAGCCACCCAGACACCCCCTGCACCTGTCTTTTAAGAAGAGTTTTAATATATTAATTTAGATTTAGATTAATTTTTTATCGAAGATGTTTTGACAATAATGTTTGAGGTAATTGGAGATACTCTTGGATTTAGAGCCATTTAGAATATTGAGAACCTCTGAGTATGGGCTATTATAGGTATATTTTAAACACCCCCTAATGAATATTCTGATTGTCTTAAACTTTTTGTTTTTAGTTGGTACAGCATTTGCCTCATCTTTATATGTGCCTTCAATACCCCAGCACTGCAGTGAGGCACATGGCTGCTCGTTGTGTAGGCATTATGAGCAAAATAGCTACCATGGAAACCATGAATATTTTTTTGGAGAAGGTTCTTCCATGGCTGGGGGCAATTGATGACAATATCAAACAAGAGGGTGCAATTGAAGCACTTGCATGTATCCTTTTTTAATTTGACAAATGTTAGAAATTATATTCATTTTATTTAAGGATGACTGAAATAAAATTGACTTATTAAAGTATGTTCATAAATAACCTGTGTTGTTCCCAAAAGAAAACTGCTTTGTTACATTTCATATGAAAGTATCTTTATATTGTATTATAAATACATTACAAATATATTTACATTTTATTATGAAAATTTTCACACAGAATGTTTGAAGAGTTACTATTTTAAGAGATCTTTTTAATAGGCAAAAATAATTGTATATATTTATGAAACATATTTCTAGTAACCGATCTACTGGTTTATAATTAGTGTCTTATTAATACTAATTAGGTACTGTGTATGTAGTCTGTATATTATAAATATGTTTTCAAAGTTCATTATGTGGGTGGAAAATGACTACTAAATAACTAGAAATACATAAGCAAGCTTTTTGCTATTGGTACAGCATCCATTGATGTTCTTTAACTCGAAGTATCTGAAAGATATTTCTAAGAGCAAGAAAGATGGATGGAGATCAAATCAATAGAAACTCTGGTTCAGAAATGCTGAAGATTGCAGGAGGACTGAACTTACTGGGCCCTGCTATGTCCAGTTATGATTGTCAAGATCCTGGTGGGAAATTTGGAATTAATCTTTGAGTGACATTGAATTGTGCTCCCTTGCTGGCAATGTTTTTGGTGTTGGAATTTTAGAAACTTGAAAGAATTTTTCTATGAGAAAAACCTGACTGAAACCTCTAGCATTTCTCAGATGATAAACAATTTTATAGTCCTAAGAGAAAGTTAAATGATGTTTACAAAAGAGCAACAGTGTACAAATGCTGTTATAATTGAATCAAGGATCTTGAGGGAGTCTATTCCCTCATGATATAGATGAGAAAGTGAGGAAGCATGTTACAAGTTACAATCTTGGTATATCAACTTGAAAATAATTACCTCAGAACAGCTTGAAAATTTCCTTAATAACTTATTCAGGTGTAATGGAACAGCTGGATGTTGGTATTGTTCCATATATTGTCCTTTTAGTTGTGCCTGTGTTGGGAAGAATGAGTGATCAGACAGACAGTGTAAGATTCATGGCTACACAGTGCTTTGCAACACTAATTAGACTCATGCCACTTGAGGTAAGTTGAAGATACTCAGTTTATGGACTTCATGTTTTCTATATTTTCATTTGTAATAATTGTAACTCTCTTAAAACAATGTCAGGTTAAAAACAGACCTCTGGAGTATGTTCACATTACAAGCATTAAAAATTTTTTACCTTAATGGGTATTTTTTTAACACAGGGTTTTAAGTAAAACTGTGGTTTCTAAAAGAATGTTTACTCATTGATGCAATTCTAGAAATAGAATTGTTCCTAAGTATCCCTGGTAACAGCTAGGTAAAGATTCTGTGCTGAAGTTTACATGAAAGGTAAATTGAGAGATGATAACTGAAAGCTTAAAAAGCAAGTGAAGTCTCTGTGGGGGTGTGGAGAAAGCAGATTAGAAGGTTGGTTGGAGAATTTTGGAGTATACTCCTAGGCTGGAAATAATATATATAGCCAAGGCAGGAAAAAGAAGTGACTTGAAAGAAGGGAAGGGGTAAGACCTTGTTGCCAAGCTGCTTAAAACATTTTGATGGGATTTTTATAATTGAGGGAATAAGTAGATACATAGTTCATCCATGTTGTAGTATGTATCACTACTTCTGTTTTATGGTCAAATAGTATTCCGTTGTATGGATATACCATGCTTTGTTTATCTGTTCACCAGTTGATGGACTTTTGGATTATTAACCATCTTTTGACTTTTTTTTTTTTTTAATTTTTTAATGTTTATTTATTTTGAGAGAGAGAGAGAGAGAACAGGGAGGGGCAGAGAGAGAGAGGGAGACACAGAATCCGAAGCAAGTTCCAGGCTCTGAGCCGTTAGCACAGAGTCCCATGCAGGGCTCGGACCCACGAACCACGAGATCATGATCTGAGCCAAAGTCAGACACTTAACTGACTGAGCCACCCAGGCGCCTCCATCTTTTGACTATTACAAGTAAAGTTAACTGAACATGCACTTGCAAGTCGTTGTGTGGGTATATACTTTTGTTTATTTTTATAAATTATTTTAAATGTTTTGTTATTTATTTTGAGAGAGAGAGACAAAGTACTTAAGTTGGGGGCGGGACAGGGAGAAAGAGAATTCCAAGCAGGCTCTGTACTGTCAGTGCAAAGCTTGATGCGGGGCTTGATCTCATATGAGATCATGACCTGAGCTGAGGTCAAGAGTTGGGTGCTTAACCAGCTCAGACACCCAGGCGCCCATTTTAAATGTTTATTTATTTATTTTGACAGAGTGAGAGAGAGCATGCGCACATGTGAGTGGAGGAGGGGTAGAGAGAGAGGGAGAGAGAGAATCCGAAGCAGGCCCTGGGCTCCGTCTCACTAACCATGAGATCATGACCTGAGCCAAAATCAAGATTCAGATGCTTAACTGACCGAGCCACCCAGGTGCACCTATATGTTTTAGTTTTTTTGAGCAGATATCTAAAAATGGGATTACTAGGGTCATATGATATTGAAATTCTTAAGAAATTGCCAGACTGTTTTTCCAGAGTAACTGTACCATTTTGTGTTCCTACCAGCGAAGTATGAGCATAAGTTGGGTAACCTCTGTGAAAAAAGTTTGGCTATATTTGCTGAAGTTGAAGATTCCCATCCAATAACCAGCAAATTCATCCCAGATATATATCCTAGAGAAATTCATACACATGTACCAAGACATAGCTTTAAGAATATTTATCATAGTATTATTTATAGTAGTCTAAGACCACTCAAATGTTCATCATCAGTGGAGTAGATATGTTAACTGGATGGTGATGGTGATGATGATACTGCAAAAGAATGAACAAAGTAAAGGCACAACAGTACTAATCTTTAACGTAAGATTCCATTTTTATGAAGTTCAAAAATAAGTAAAAGTACATGGGATGCATACTTAGGTGGTAAAGGTATGAAGAAAAGAAAGAGGTTGCCATGAAAGTCAGTAAAGTGATTATCTCTTGTGGAAAGGAGAGTTGGTTATCACTGGGAGGGAACATATGGGGTCTTCTAGGATTATGGCAGGGCTATTTTTATTGATCTGGTAATGGTTATAAAGTTGTTTATTTATAAAACTGTACATTTATTTATATATTTGTCTATATGAATAGTTTATCCCACAATAAAAAGTATTAAAATAAGTACCATGGCCAAAAAAATGAAATACTACACTACTATATTGAAAGACACAAGTCATTTCCAGAATAGTTTCCATTTTTGCTTCCTAGGTCTTACTCATATTTTTTAATTCTTGGACCTTGCATCATCTTATTTGTAAACTAAATTGTTAGTCCCCTTGGCCCTTTTCCACTTTGGAATCAGTGAGTGATAGGAAACCACCATGTGTTCTTTGAGCAAAGGAGTAGATGATGAACAAATGTTTTAGGAACATTAATCTAACAGCTGAAAGCAATTTAATAGCTGTTAGGAAATCAGTTTAATAGCTGTTTATGGATTAGAATGGAAGTGACCCAAAACACAGCCCAATCCACTGTGAGGAGATAGTCAATTGTTTTTAAGGGGATACTAACAATATTTGATAATCAGATTGGCAAAGAAAAGAGACTCTGACCATTAGAGGTTGAGAAAAGATTAGTCAAACTCTCTTTGATGTGATCTGTATTATATTCTCACCATGATAGAAAAACAGGAATCAGGGGTGCCTGGCTGGCTCAGTTGGTACAGCATATGACTCTTGATCTCAGGGTTGTAAATTCAAGCCCCATCTTGAATGTAGAGATTACTTAAAAGTAAAGCCCTTAAACAATAAAACAGGACTAGATATATCCTCCCACCATAAGTAGAAAACTAGACAAAATGAATCAAACAGTGGTTTTCGATACTGAAGAGCAGGCAACACAGGATAGAAATCATGAGAGAAAAGAAACAAATGAAGTGCCCTAGCTTACTGCCTAAAGTAAGTTTCCAGGCCATCGGACAGGGAAGTGAAACCTAAACAGAACCTCACAGTTTCACCAATTTGAATAGTCAAGAGTTCAGAGTGTAGGTAGGACAAGATTGCTAGAATTTGCAAGGACCCAAGAAGCAGTTGCAGAGAAGAAGCTCCAGATGTCCACACCAGGGCTGAGTATTCATCTGGGCATATGTGTGAGAATGTATGTTTGAGACTGGGAGAAAAAATGAAAGGAGTAGGTGGAACAATTCCCAGAGCTCACACATGGTCAGGAATAATTTGTGTTTCCACAAAACTGAATCAGAAGACTGCCTCCCATTTAGAGCATTAAGCACAATTCTTAGAAGTATATTGCCCAAGTAGTGAGATCAAACTAGCCCTTGACAGAAGGCTGATTTGGATCTACCTTAACAAAGCTTAAAAATAAGCCCTAAAAGGAGGATCAAATTGATTTCAAGTAACTTTAAATCACATCCCAGAAAATAACTCTAAAATATTAAAACCAAAGAAGGGGTACCTGGGTGGCTCAGTTGATTGAGTTTTGGACTTCAGCTCAGGTCATGATCTCGCGGTTTGTGAGTTTGAACCCTGCATCATGCACAGAGTCTGTTTTGAATCCTCTGTCCCTCCCCCACTTGTGTGTGCATGCTCTCTCAAAAATAAATAAAAATATTAAAAAAAAAACCAAAACACCAAGAAATCCAGCACCCAACAACATAAATGATGTTTAGCGCCCACCAAAAAATGGCCAGGTATGAAAATATATCCAATAACCAGCAGAAAAGTCAGTCAGTAGAAACAGACCCTGAAATGGCCCAGATAATAGAATTAGTAGATAAGGATATTAAAATACATTCTGTATGTTCAAGAAGGTAGAGGAAAGCATAAATATAGTGAGTAAAGTGGAAGAAGGAAGAACAAACCAAATTGAACTTCTTGAGATGAAAAATACAATTACAAATAAAAACACACTGGTTGGGATTAATGGGAGAATGGATGCTACAAAAGAAAAGATTACTGAGTTTGAAGATGTAGCAATAGAAACAAGAATATCATGCAAGTATATTCCTGTTCTGCACTGTCTTGATTTCCTCTATTACATCTTCACAGGAAGAACATGTACTTTTCTGAAATATATACTGAGAAGGATTCAAGTAATTTTGACAGAAGCTCTAATTCCTTGCACTGTTAGTAACTGTTGGTGATTTAATAGGAATTGGAATGAGGAATATATACATAGGAAGAGTTCCTGGCACTGAATAATATTTATGACTTCCCAGCTTGGAGTTTCATTGTTAGGAAATGTATCTACTTATATGGCCTTATGGCTGGTTGTCATTAAAAATTCCATGAAGATAGATGTTTGACAATTTTGTAAAGCATTTGTGCTTACAAAATGAGAGGCCTCATTTTGATGACCATCATTATACTATTAGATGTTCTAAAGTGTTAGATTCTGTTTTATTAGATACAGTTGTTAATTCCTAAACTTCCTGAAAATATAACAGGTAGTCATTTCTAAGACTCACTGTGCATACCTCATTCCTCTGATATATTTCTCATGTGATGTGGAATATATATTTTAAATGACCTTTTTTTAAATGTTTATTTTTGAGACAAAGAGAGCATGAGCGGGGGAGGGGCAGAGAGAGAAAGGGACAGAGGATCCAAAGCAAGCTCCACACTGATAGCAGCAAGCCCAACATAGGGATTGAACTCACAAATTATGAGATCGTGACCTAAGCCAAAGTCGGCTGCTCAGTTGAGCCACCTAGGCACCCCTATATTTTAATTGACCTTAATTGATACTCTGTTTCCAGAATTTTACATTTCTTAACTTAAGATATGCCATATGGCAGTAGTTCTCAAGCTTTTTGGTCTGAGTGTCTCATTACATTCTTTTTTTTTTAATATATATTTTTTATTTTTTTATTTTAAAAAAAATTTTTTATATATTTTTAGCTTTTTTAATTTTTTAATATGAAATTTTTAAAATATATTTTTATAATCTTTATTTATTTTTGAGAGGGGGGAGAGAGAGAGTGAGTGCTAGTGGGGGAGGAACAGAGACAGAGGGAGACACAAAATCCAAAGCAGGCTCCAGGCTCTCAGCTGTCAGCACAGAGCCTGATGTGGGGCTCGAATTCACAAACGCAAGATCATGACCTGAGCTGAAGTCAAATGCTTAACTGACTGAGCCACCCAGGTGCTCCTCATTATATTCTTAAAACTTGAAAACCCTAGAGCTTCTATCATATTTTCTGTAATAGAAATTAAAACTAAGAAATGTAAAAAAGATTTATTATTTCATTTAATAAACCCATTAGATGTTGCCATTAATAACATCTTTAAGTGAAAAATAACTTTTTTTCTAAAAAATAAGCTAGTGAGAAAAGTGACATTGTTTGGCATGTTTGCATATCTCTTTTATGCCTGGTCTAATAGTAGATAGCTGGATTGTTATATTTACTTAGGCATTCAGGCTCTTGCAATATGTTTCTTGGGCTGAGGTATATGAAGAAAGTCAAGCCTCATAGAGATAGGTAGTTGGAAAAATGAGCAGTATTTTGACAGCTTTTTAAATAATTTTGGACATTCTTTTATCTGATAACATACCAAAACTCAAAAAGAGAAAGGTTATTACATTTATGTGCAGTGTGGAATCTAAAAATCCTATCACTGAATATAAAATCTCTCTACATTCAGATTTATTGGTTTATCTTACACTTATGAATAGAACTTATACCCATACATGTTTTTTAACATCAGCATTGGTCACTTGGAAAATACTGATTCAATGAGTTATGTAAATCTTTTAAAGGTTGATAATATTTTGTCATAAATTAGCAAAAAATCAGATTCGTTAGATCACTAACAGAAAATTCTTCTTAAGTATTGGAAAGCTTATACTTAAGCTCAAGCTCACAGTGCTATTTCTCTTGGAAGATTGAATTTTATCATTGGCAACAAGTTTATGTCAGTTGTTTTCTTTGAAGTGACAAATTTATATTTAAGAAAATGTCGGCCAGACAGCCAAGTCAGAATAACAGTTTGTCAGTCCATTCAAGTAAAATGTTGTTCTGTGAAAAATGGCTCACTCAGGTCACAATGTAAACAATCTCATAAGTGCTTTTTTCTCAACATAATTATATTTTGATATACAACAAAAGTGCTTTATGTGTAGTTCGCATTTGTTTTTTGCACAGAATGTTAAAAAGATGTGCATTCAAGGGTTAAGGTCTAATAAAGTTATTTTTACTACTTTAAGGACATTGTTTTTTTAATGTTTAATTTTGGGAGAGAGGAAAAACTGAAGCGGGGAGAGGCAGAATGAGGAGGACAGAGGATCCGAAGTGGTCTCTGCACTGACAGCCGTGAGGCTGATGGGGGCTTGAACTCACAAACTATGAGATCATGACCTTGAGCCAAAGTTGGACATTCACCTGACGCACTACCCAGGTGCCCCTACTGCTTTAATAAGGACATTCTTAACTGAAATTGGCTTTTAAAAAAATGCTGATACATGGCTGTAACACAGTGACTACTGGTACATTTAGTGATGTTGCCTTGATTCTTTTTGAGGCATAAGCAGTTTTGCCCACCATTACTTTTGGAGCCTCAGTGCAAATGTCAGCCAAGTGAAAAAAGCAAACAATGTCTTTCCTTTATTATGAAATGGTTTTGACCTCAGTAATCCTTTGAAAAAATCTTGGGTATCCTGACGGGTCTGCAGACTACATTTTGAGAACTGATACCCTAAGGCATCATAACACTGAAATTGAGAAGCTCCTGTAACAGCCTTTTATTTAAAATAAGTTATACAATCTTGTTTGCCTCTTTATCAAGTAATGCCTGGTGTGGGGAACATAAGTTGTAGGTGTATTCTTTAAAATACCTCATGTGCTTATTTAGTAGTCTGATAACACTTTTAATACCTGTCAAATTTAAACTCTATTTGTTGTCCAGTCTTTAAAATTATTTATTATTACTTATTACTATTATTTTAACTATTACTATTTCTGAATTATTTTTCTCTATTTACATTTTGATAAGACTTGCAGTTATTTCATAATCTGAGTATGAACAAATTAACTGTGGTAAATAGTTTTAATACACTTTAAAAAATCACTTCAGGCAGGCATTCCAGACCCTCCAAATATGTCAGAAGAACTAATCCAATTGAAAGCCAAGGAACGACACTTTTTGGAGCAGTTATTAGATGGGAAAAAATTAGAAAATTACAAAATACCAGTACCAATTAATGCTGAACTCAGAAAATATCAGCAGGTAAAGTTTTATACTTATATAATGAATAGTGACTATTCCTTTCAATGTACCCTGAAGAGTTTTTAAAATTTTATTTAGTAAACACTTGTGTTTAGTGTCTTTTACCCATTTATTACTCCTTTGCCTATAAAAACACGGATTTTTGGTCTGTGCAAATGTGTTTTATAAGAAAAAAATTTTTATGATCTGTTCACATTTATAATTTTTCTCTTTCTCCTAACCTTTCAGGATGGTGTGAACTGGTTAGCATTTCTTAATAAGTATAAACTTCATGGAATTCTGTGTGATGACATGGGTTTAGGAAAAACATTACAGTCCATCTGCATTCTAGCGGGAGATCACTGTCACCGGTAATTTAAAATGTTATTTTTTTGGAAAAGGGGTTTTAGATGCTGAGAAATGTAAAAACCAAACAAACAAACACTGGTTAATTTATTGTGTTTTATTGTTGTAAAGGGCCCAAGAATATGCAAGATCAAAATTGGCAGAATGTATGCCACTTCCTTCCTTGGTGGTTTGTCCGCCAACATTAACAGGTCACTGGGTGGATGAAGTAGGTAAATTTTGCTCCAAAGAATATCTCAATCCATTACACTATACTGGACCTCCTACTGAAAGAATAAGGTAAGAACTCTACAACAAAAATATTTAATCTTCTGTTTTGAGAATCACTTTAGAAGAATACAGTTTATTAAAAATGACTTCTAGTTAGTCTTTTTGGTTGTCAGAACCTCAACTTATTTAAGAAAGATGAGTGTATGTTATAAAGATAAAATCAGTGAGATACTTCAGAGTTTAGAGACTTTAGCCATTGTTAACAGTCAATTGGATTTTCTAAGTATTGGACCTAGGAACCAAAGCCATTCTCTATGCCCTTCTTGGGAGCCTTGTAATCACAGCATCTCTTTCTCTAAGAGCTCCCTGATCCCCAAAATGCTTTTGCTCCATAAGGGCTGCTCTGACTGTCCTGAGACCATAGCAGTGTTAGAGTTCAATTAGCTTTACCCTTTCTCTCTTAAACTGGTACATCCCTTATGTTCCTAAATACAATTTTTTAAAAAATGTTTATTTTTGAGAGCGAGAGCACAATTGGAGGAGGGGCAGAGAGAGAGAGGGAGACACAGAATCTGAAGCAGGCTCCAGCCATGAGCTGTCAGCACAGAGCCTGACGTGGGTCTCAAACTCATGAACCATGAAATCTGACCTGAGCCAAAGTTGGACGCTTAACCGACTGAGCCACCCAGGCGCCCCCCTAATACAAATTTTGAAGAGCAGAATTTCCATTGATCTCAGTTTACCTTTTTGTGTGTGTGCAAATTTTTATTTACATTCTAGTTAGTTAACAGTGTAATATTGGCTTCAGGAGTGGAATTTAGTGATTTATCAGTTACATATAACACCCAGTGCTGTCATAACAAGTGCCTTCCTTAATATCCATCACCCATTTAGCACACCCCCCACTCACATCCCTCCAGCAACTCTGTTTTCAATCTTTAAGAGTCTCTTATGGTTTGCTTCCCTCTCTTTTTTTTTGTTCCCCCTTCCCATGTGTTCATCTGTTTGTTTCTTAAATTCCACATGTGAATGAAATCATGTATTTTTCTCTGACTTATTTTGCTTAGCATAATACATTCTAGCTACATCCATGTCATTGAAAACGGCAAGATTTCATTCTTTTTGATGGCTCAGTAATATTCCATTGTATGTATACACCACATCTTCTTTATCCATTCATCAATTGATGGATACTTGGGCTCTCCCCATCATTTGGCTGTTGTTAATAACGCTGCTGTAAACACTGGGGTCCATGTACCCTTTCGAATATGTATTTTTGTATTCTTTGGGTAAATACCTAATAGTGCAATTGCCAGGTCATAGGGAAGTTCTGTTTTTAGCTTTTTGAACAACCTGTGTGTGTACTCTTTTCCAGAGTGGCTGCACCAGTTTGCATTCTCACCAGCAGTGTAAGAGAGTTGCCCTTTCTCCACATCCTTGCCAACATCTGTTGTTTCCTGTGTTATTAGTTTTAGCTGTTCCGACAGGTGTGAGGTGGTATCTCATCCTAGTTCTGCTTTGTATTTCCCTCATGATGAGTGATGTTGAGCAGTTTTCATTTGTCTGTTAGCCATCTGTATCTTCTTTGAAAAAATGTATATTCATATCTTCTGCCCATTTCTTAACTGGATTGTTTTTTGGGTATTGAGTTTGATAAGTTATGTACAGATCTTGGATACTAACCCTTTATCAGATATGTCATTTGCAGATATCTTCTCCTATTCTGTAGGATGCCTTTTAGTTTTGTTGATAGTTTCTTTTGCTGTGCAGAAGCTTCTTATCTTGATGAAGCCCTAGTAGTTCATGTTTGCTTTTGTTTCCCTTGCCTTTGGTGATGGGTCTAGTAAGAAGCTGCTCTGGCGAGGTCAAAGAGGTTGCTGCGTGTTTTACTCCTGTAGGATTTTGGTGGTTTCCTGACTCACATTTAGGTCTGGCATTCATTTTGAATTTATTTTTGTGTGTGGTGTAAGCAAGTGGTCCAGTTTCATTCTTCTGCATGTTGCTGTCCAGTTTTCCCAACACCATTTGTCGAAGAGACTTTTTCCGTTGGATATTCTTTCCTCTTTAGCTAAAGATTAGTTGACCATATAGTTGTGGGCCCATTTCTGGGTTCTGTTCTATTCCATTGATCTGTATGCTTACGTTTATGCCAGTACCATACTGTCTTGATGACTACAGCTTTGTAATGTAGCCTCAAATTCCGGAATTGTGTTGCCTCCAGCTTTGCTTTTCTTTTTTAAGATTGCTTTGGCTGTTTGGGGTCTTCTGTGATTCCATAACCAATTTTATGATTGTTTGTGATGATAGTTCTGCGAAGAATGCTGTTGGTATTTTGATAGGGATTGCATTAAATGTGTAGATTGCTTTGGATAGTGTAGACATTTTAACAATGTTTGTTCTTCCAATCCATGAGCATGGAATGTTTTTCCATTTCTTTGTGTCCTCTTCAATTTCAAGTGTTCTATAGTTTTCAGAGTACAGATCTTTTACCTCTTTAGTTAGGTTTATTCCTAGGTATGTTACAGTTTTTGGTGCAATTGTAAATGGGGTTGGTTCCTTGGTTTCTTTTTCTGCTCCTTCATTATTGCTGTATAGAAATGCAACAGATTTCTATGTATTGATTTTACATCCTACGACTGCTGAATTCATGTATTCTAGCAATTTTTTGGTGAAGTCTTTTGGGTTTTATATGTAAAGTATCATGATGTCGTCTGCAAATAGTGAAAGGTTGACTTTTTCTTTGCTGATTTGGATGGATGCCTTTTCTTTTTGTCTCTGATTGTTGAGGCTAAGACTTCCGGTACTATGTTAAATAGTAATGAGAGTGGAAATCCCTGACTTGTTCCTGACCGTATCACTGAGGGTCATATTAGCTGTGGGTCTTTTGTGTATGGCCTTTATGATGTTGAGACATGTTCTGTCTATCCCTGCTTTGTTGAGGGCTTTATCAAGAATGGATGCAGTATTTTGTCAGATGCCTTTTCTGCATCTTTTGACAGGATCACATGGTTCTTATCCTTTCTTTATTAATGTGTATCACGCTGATTGATTTGCAAATATTGAACTAGCCCTGCAGCCCAGGAATAAATCTCACTTGATCATGGTGAATAATTCTTTTAATGTGCTGTTGGATTTGATATGCTAGTATCTTGAGAATTTTTGCATCCATGCTCATCAGCAATATTGGCCTGTAATTCTTCTCTTAGTGGAGTCTTTGTCTGGTTTTGGAATCAAGGTAATGCTGGCCTTGTAGAATGAGTTTGCAAGTTTTCCTTCCATTTCTATTCTTTTGAATAGTTTGAGAAGAATAGGTATTAACTCTTATTTGTTTTTTTTTTTTTTTTTTTTTTTTTTTTTTTTTTTTTTTTATTTTATGTTTATTTTTGTGAGAGAGGGAGTTAGGGTGTGAGCAGGGGAGGGTCACAGAGAAAGAGGGAGATACAGAATCCAAAGCAGGCTCCAGGCTCTGAGCTGTCAGCACAGAGGCTGACGTGAGCTTGAACCCATGAACCATGAAAGCCGAAGTTGGACATTTAACCAACTGAGCCACCCAGGCGCCCCAACTCTTCTTTAAATGTCTGCTAGAATTCCCCTGGGAAGCCGTCTGGCCCAGAACTCTTGTTTGTTGGGAGATTTTTTTTTTTTTTTTTTAAGCTTCTTTATTTTTTGAGAAAGAGAGAGAGAGAGAAAGGCAGTGCCAGCTAGGGAGGGACAGGGAGAGAAGGAGAAAGAGAATCCCAAGCAGGTTCCACACTCAGTTCAGAGGCTGACGCAAGTGATCTCATAAGCCATGAGAACACAACCTGAGATGAGATGAAAAGTTGGATGCTTAACGATCAAGCCACCCAGGCTCTCTTGTTGGGCTCTCTTGTTGGGAGATTTTTGATGGCTGATTCAGTTTCTTTGCTGGTTATGGGTCTGGTCTAATTTTCTGTTTCTTCCTGTTTTGGTTTTGGTAGTGTGTGTGAATTTCTAGGAATTTGTCTATTTTCCAGATTGCCCAGTTTGTTGGCATGTAATTTTTCATAATATTCTCTTATAATTGTTTGTATTTCTGTAGTGGTGGTAGTGATCTCTCTTGTTTCATTTGTGATTTTGAGTCCTTTCTTTTTTCTTTCTGATAAGTCTGGCTAGGGGGTTATCAATTTTATTAATTTTTTCAAAGAACCAGCTCTTAGTTTCACTGATCTGTTCTCTTGGTCTTTTTTTTTTTTTTTTTT